TTTTTAAAAAAATTACCAATTTTTATAGGCAACCACAATTTATAACTTCAGGGAACACAATTAACCGGATATTTTATAAACGGCACCAATTAGATTTCACTCTTCACAGGCCACAGATCTCTTCTTTCTAGAAAACTTCAGCATAATACAAACCAAAATGCACAGCTTTATGGCAATAAATTAATCGAACGAAGCTCCTACAAGTCACAAGATCAATTTTAAGCAACAAAGTGGCACAGAAATTAGAGAGAAAGCTCTCACTTTAGAAAATATTCAAATTCCATTCTTGGATGTTTATGCAAAGAAATGAAAGGCCTATTTATAGTCATCATAGAAGGATTATTTCGTCCTAAATCAATGCATTCAAGATGGATTATGGGGTTTCTTTTTGGTCAAAGGGCCATGGGGTTTAATTATTCTTTATTTGCGAGGGTTACAATATATTATCATGGAAATTCATTGAGAAGAGGGAGAGAAAGAGACTCGGAAGAGGTGGGTGACTTCCGTTTCACATAGTTCTGACACGAGTAGAGCTTCAGCAAATCCCAACGACGTGACATCACAGAATGAAAAACCTGCCACAAGCTAGTCCAAAGGAAGAAACAAACTCCCCATTACAAAGGCATCGCCTGAAACCTAAGCCCAACATCACACAAGTTAAAATATTCCCTTTTGTGTTGTTGCTCCCAAAGGCAAATGCCATAGTTTTGTGAGGCATTTATATCGTATAATACGAATATTATTTAAAAAATAAATCAAGTACTACTGTTCCTAGAAAAATGAATCGGCACACAGTACCAAATACCAATGGCCTAAATGACTTGAAGCAAAATTTTTTATTTTAGGCTTTCGAAAAGCCTTATAAAATGTTATTTTCATCGTCTTTCTCTAGTGAAACAAAACGTTTTTATTGGTATAACTGCATATGTGGAAGATAATATGTTGACACCAAACTAGAAAAACTAGCGTTCCCGTGTACGAAAAAAGTTTCATTGGACTTGCAAAAATAGCACCGACAGATTTACAGGGTAAAGTAAAATGCACAAGGTAAAAACACAAGAAGGAAGAGTCGAGTCTTGACCATGGAATTGGGTTGGTGTGATGGACAGGATTAGGTTGAGCTTGGACTTATCAAGTCGTTTATTTGACTAATGCACTGCCATTGCCTGATAAATAAAGCTAAGACTGTTTATAGTCCACCTTTCATTATCAATGCACAAACTCAAGTTCCGAACCGCCCCTTCATATCTGTGGCTTTAATTGCTTTAAAATCAACTATGTTAGCCGGTGCTTTCTGAAGTGGTCAAACCTGAACCGTGTTTTTTTTTGGAGTATTGTCGGCTAATCTTTGACAAATCAGCTGTTAGCTTGGAAAGTTACCAAATGCAATATAATAATGGAGTTAAGTAATTCACAAAATTAATTCTTCCGTGCTGCTACATTAAAAAAAAACAAAAAAAAAAGATAAATTAAAGATAAAATAGTTAGGAACAGAGATTCGAATTGGGCATCTACTTCCTTGAAGACACAGATTCATGTACGCTGTAGTTACGCCGGTGTGCTTTATTGAACAAGAGCTCTGATGCTATTAAATGAGTTATTACAGCATCATCATAGGCCTCGAGTTTGAGTCTCAAAATATTGTAGTATAAGTGATTAGGGACGCCCACCCTTATGTGCTTGTTATGCCTCAATGTGGACTTGTTTGGCCCCATTTAAGTTCTCACAACTTGTAGAGAGGCTGCTTCAGGGTACCATATACCAGGTGCTCGAGAGAGAGAGAGAGAGAGATGCTAGCTTGACCCCTCGTGGTGATGAATAAAGCTACGGGTTTAGAAATGAGAGCATGAGAGGGGGGACAACTCAAAACCCCACATATTAAATATGCCTCAACCTGCCAGTCTAACAAACATTTCCAACTTGAGATACTTTTATTGTGGATGCGTCATCGCTCTTCTCTAGTCTCTACTCCTTTCTCTTCCTCTCTCTTCCTCTTATGGTGTGTGAATCATACAACCGTTGCTAGAAATCTGAGATTCTTCTTTCCCATCTCTGGACCAAATAACGTCAAAGGAGGAGGATTGCTTATGTTTAAGGCTGTGGAGAAGCCATGTCGATTTGCAGGACTCAAATGGAGCGTTTTTCTATTGATAGTATTGACTCTTTCAGGTTTAAATCACAAGGTCTTGGAAGCTCGACACGCAAAAGAGGGATCGGAATATACAATCAGATTTCAAGTACGGAAGAGAAGCTTTGGCGGTGAAAAAGATGGAACCTCTTTCGCAAACGTTGAAAGAGAGGTGCCCTCTTCTCCTGATCCCTTGCACAACAGGTAGTTCTTCAAGCTTCTGTGAGGGCAAAAAGCACGATATATATCAGATCTTTCAGGAATCCGAGTTAACTTAGGATTGCTAGAGTAACCTCGTTGGTGAGGTTGACCCTTCTGTATAGATACCTCGGCTTGTGAAATGTCTCTCCTTGTTCGGTTTTGCTATAACAAAGTGACTTATAAAGTAGTTAGGCCTTTGGTTCTGTTGTTATTACCACACATAAATTCTTGTAATGACTACTACTTAATTTTATTTGGTACACATTACAAACCAATTTATTTTTTTCATTTAAATTAATAAAAAACAGGATTTAAACGCTCTCCGTTAGACGGTGGCAACGAAGAAAAATGGTGGTCTGGTGGACAAGGGAAGCGGAGGGATTGGCACTTTGTGATTATGTAATTGTTCTATTTTTAAGATTTTTATGACTTTGTTTGTTGAGCGTGTGTGTGTTTTTAAATTTAATTATATTATGTGGTAAAGAATTATTTGTATTATCAAAGGTCCAAAATACCCTTGATATATTTTTCTTTAAAAAAAAAAAACATTCATGTCTATAACCTTACTACCTGTAACTCCCCCTAAAGCTCACGATCCATCTAAAAAAAACTCACGACCCACTTCTTACCGTCACACAGGAGTGATGGTGGGATAATTCCAAACAAATAAACCTATTTCAATCTTCATACTTGCTCCAACAATTCTATTATCTCCTTCAAACCAAAAAGGGAACTATAGCTAAAATGACAAGAGCCCATAAATCATTTGTACTAATCTTGAACCAGAACCATAACAGTGAAACTCAAACTAGAAGGTAACAATGATGGCAAAGTAGAAAGCAGTGATTTTTACTCAAAGGTGGAGATGGAAAAGATTCATTGTTCTTGGTGTTCAGATCTAAAATCTATCATTACCTCCACCGTCATCACCTGTTGCAGCACCGGCATCGACATACCTCCAACCAAATCTCCTCTCACACCTATGCGAACAACTCCTGCAGGTGCTCCTCTCTCACATGTTGCAGACTGATAGCTGAGGTCCTTGCTTTGGCACCTAACAAGCCCATGAAGAAGGAGGGAGGCAAGGGTAAGATGGAGAGATGGAAGAGAGAGAAGATGGAAAGGCATACAGAATTGGATTCCATAGGTTTTGAGATGAATTGGATTTCAAGAAATTTGTCAGAATCGAGATTCTAAAAAATCATGATTATATAGTACCAAACACATTTTCAGATCAATTCCGTTTTCGTTTCTGTTTCTATGTTTCTGACTCAAACCTACCAAACATAGCCGAAGATTTGGAGGGAATTGTATCAACTTTTTCATTTGAAAAAAAAAAAAAAAACGGTGCTCCACGTAACCCAACAATTCAATCCAATGAACTCATTTCTTTCAGCTCATGTTTGGATGCGCCCACAAGGATTGCATCAAGCCCGCATTTCTAAGTCTAAAAGTAACACAATGTCGCCGCCCAAATAGACACTTCAATACTTTTGCTCATTTCATTTCCCCAAAAGCTTCTCAGCATCACTGTGGCCGTCCAGTCTTCTCTTCCAACTAGACTTTATTTCATGCAATGAAGCGGGATATATAGTCTTTCTTTAAATAAATACAAATTATGAGATAAATAATAATAAACAGTATTTTTATTTCAATTATATATATATATATATATATAATGAATCGTATTTGGATTCTCTTCGTACCTTCTTTCGAGATATTTTTTCCGATCTCCATACTCAATTTCATCTGTGCATTATTAAGATATAAATGTATTTTAATATCATAATTAACAATCTAAAAATAGAATGCAAAACAGCAGTATTGCCGCGCCTTATACCCTTGTAGATTCATTCAACTCCTACGAAGTGTAACATATAAGGATCCGTTTGGATTTTAATTAAATATAATTAATTATAAAAAAACTAATTAATATAATTAATTTTAATTGTAGTTAATTATGTTACAACATAATGTATTATTTTTTTAAAATTAATTTTAACAAAATTAAAAATGTTTGAATAATTTATTTAGAATGTAAATATTAATAAAATTGCATATAACATTATTAAATTTGTTTTGTTCTATTTACATTTAAATGAAGCTAAAAACAGATAGATAAATAAAATAAAATAAAGAAAGAAATAAAATTTATATTATTATATTTTTATTATAGTTCAAATAAATGAACATATTCAAATTGTTGTAAAAACGAGAGTATATATATTTAAATGAATGAATACACAACAGCACACAATGCGCTGAACATTTTGGTTGGGGAAAATTTACATACCCAATTTTGCAAGAAAGAAGAGTGGTGCAAGGGGACACTTGAACCAGCACAAAATTTTAACAACACATTATGCTTTCAACTTGAAAATTGATAATAAGAAGCTAACGACTTCATCAAGAACGGAGTTATGCAAGTATAATTGATTTATGGAAAAACACAACCATGGCATCCCTAAAAACGTTTCTTAGATTGAATTTTAGATCTAGTTCCTCCAGTCAACCAAATACGAAGACCAGGCAAATATTGCTTTGCAACCTAAAATGATTCAATTAAAAAGGGAACAATACCAGTCAATGCAATAACAAGCGTGCGTGCAAAATTAAAACATGTTATATGTGCAACAAGCTGCAAGCTAGTCCGGTTTGCATGCATAAAATATAGAGAAAACGAAAATCAGCAAACCAGTTATAAATACTCATGTGCTATTACATACAATAGATATACAAAGTCACTCCCAAAAACACCATCTTACATAAGACAAGCAGCACCAACAGAACATAGAATTCAGCAAATATGCACAGCATCACAAGAACAAAAAGTAGCCCTCGCTAATTCAAACACAAAAAGGACCCATCTGCCACCTGCATGCGCGTCTTCAGCGTCTTCCAAAATGCGAAAACTGTCTAAACAGCTAGTTCACCTCTGCAATCCATTCAAGAGGCAAATTAACTATTAATTATTTCAAATATCTATGGAAAAAGACAACATGCATGAATGCAATGATCTCACACACACTTGCAAAGTCTCAAGTCCAAAACATTACAAAGGTGGAGGGGATACAGTACATAACTTATTTCAGTATCGTATTAAATCCAAACTAAATGAGAAATACTTTACACAGAAGCGCAAGAGTAATTAGCAATAAGCATACCAAGTTCGGTGTAAACAGTCCATTCAATACTTAATTACTTATCACGACCACTTGTTCCTTCGCACGCTTGTGTAATAGTTGTAAGTCTCGAGCACAAAACAATATAAATGTGGAGGGGTATCCTTGAGTTATTTCAGTTTCATATTTAAGCCAAACTGTAAATGATAAATCATGGGCATGATGCACGTGAATGACTAGCAACAAATTAATCTACCAAGTATAGTGTTTACAGATTCATTTGGAGTCTACAACAGATACTAGCCATCGAAAAATAATGGCGATTATATATAAGAAATAAACGGACTAACGAACTTCAAGAAATATGATGTGCAATGATTGTAGTAAGGCAGGATCTCACAGTTGCAACACCCGTCACAATCCACGATGGTGGAGGCCAGAAAAGTCCAGAATAGCTAAAGACTCCTGAAAGCATCTTAGCAGAACAATCATCCATGTCAAACAATGCAGCATCACCGCCGGGATGATATTCAACGAGATCACCACAAAAGGAGCCACGTTCGTTGTAGTAAATGCAATTCTTCTTGCACCCACGATATTCTTGAGCTGAAACAGAGAAAGTGCAATGATCGCCAACAAACATAACTCTATTTCCCAAGCTTTTCACCGAAACCCACTTGCGTTTCTCCTCATTCAGTTTATAAACATGAAAATAAGTGGGGAGAACATCCTCGTCGGAATCAGAATTAAAGCCCGCAAGAAATTCATTCTCAGGATCAAAGTCCCTATCTAGGAGGAATAAATCGCCAAGAGAACTCACCAAGCGCTTTGCTAGACTGTTGTGTCTATTATAACCAGGACGAGTCATTGCTGGGGTAACTAGTGTGATTTTCAATGACAAATCTACCGAGATAGTCAAACCGGAGTCATCCACAGCATAAAATTTCGCATTATGGTAAACAACATCATTATAAAAAGCGCCTTCCCGGCCATTGCTTATACGATTCCATTTCTTATCACCCTTTCTCCAAATACTCAACTGGCCAGCAGTGTCAATGGCCATAACCGCAAAACCAGCACCTTCAGAGCACACAGCCACTTTCATAACGTGAACAGATAAAACTTCAGGAAAATCTAATTCAGGTATTTTACTATTGCCCACAAATCGAAGATCGTAAACCTTAGTTATCTCGGAAGCCCTATAGTCAAGGAGATTCAAGCCTCTAGGAAGACGCGGAGACAGGTTCTCAGATTCAAGCCGGGAGAGAGGATCCATGAGGCGAACCTTGCCAGGCTCCTTGGTCTCCTCAATCCTAATGAGCCAGCACTTGGAAGTCTTCCAAGTGTCTGAAATTTTCTTGAGGGGTTGAATGCAGTAGACAGTGGACTCGACCAGGTTGAAGTAACCACGTCGTCTGCGATTCCGATGAGGGTTGGAACCCATTGGGAAGGGAAGCTTGAGAGGCGGAGAGGGAGAAGCGGACCTCCGGGACGGCGTAGGGAGAACGGATCGCCAGGAATAGCAAACGGCACGGAAGCAAAGACGATCGATACGAGAATCAAGGCGATTGGCAATGTTGAGGAGCAAATCACTGCGAAGACCAGACCACGAAGTGGAGTGGGGATCCATGGAAAATAGGAGAGATGAGACACCAAACTGCAAGGTAACAAAAGCTGGCTGGTGTTGATGGAAACGGACCACACACTGTCACTTGAGGAGAAGCCGAAGCAGAAGGGCGGATTTATAGCCCTTCGTAAAAGAGCTGGCTTCTCTCCATTTTCCCCTCACTTTCCACCTCAATTATTAAATTTATTTTCAAATAATTAAAATTTAATATTTTATAAAATTATTATTAAAATATAAAATTTTATAAAAAATAAATATAATAATAATTTTATACAATATTAAATTTTAATTATTCAAAAATAAATTTAAAGATTGAGATGAACAGCGAAGAGGAAATGGAGAAAGGAAAAAAAAAAAAACAGAAGCCAAGTCCTTTGATAAACAACGCCAGTTAGCATCAACCACGCGTCCCCTTAAGTCCAATCTTGAGAGTTTGCTTTGGGAGCAAGCAATTAATTAACGCTGCTTCATTTTTCATCACAAATGGAAATTCAATAGCCGTCCCAAGCCATGCTTTCGTGTCAGGTAATTTTTTAAAAGTTTTCTTTGATTTCAAAAAGTGATGAGAAATGTCTTTTAAATTTAAATAAAAATAAGAGAGTGTGTTTATTTAAAAAGAGATGAGTCTCTTGTTTTCTAAAACTCTCTAGAGTAAATTTAATATCTTTTTTAAAGTCATGCTTTCATGTCAGGTAACTTTTAAAAGTTATACTTTTCTTTAATTTCAATAAAATGATCAGAAATGTTTTTAAATAGGAATAAGAGAGTGTGTTTATTAAAAAGAAGTGAGGCTCTTGTTTTCTAAAACTTTTTTTTTCTAGCGTAAATTCAATATCCTTTCAAAGTTATGCTTCCATGTCAGGTAACTTTTAAAAGGCATATTCTTCTTTAATTTTAATAAAGTGATTAGAAATGTTTTTAAATTGAAATAAGAGAGTGTATTTATTAAAAAGAGGTGAGGCTCTTGTTTTCTTTCTTTTTTTTTTTCTTTCTTTTTTATCTAAAGTAAATTCAATATCCTTTCAAAGCTATACTTTCATGTCCGGTAACTTTTACAAGTTATATTTTTCTTTAATTTTAGAAATGTTTTTAAATAAAAATGAGAGAATGTGTTTATTAAAAAGAGGCGACACTCTTGTTTTCTAAAAACTCCTTTTTCGAACTATCGTTATAATTGATAATCACAAGAATAACTTCTCAATAAATCGTAACATTATTTAAGAGGTTATATATATATATATATATATATATAAGTGATGTTTCTCTGTACACAACTTTAAGAATTGAATCCAAAATAATACTTGAGAGGTCAAGACGGCTATCATATGTGACACACTTATTTGCTAGATAAATGAAATTAAGGTGCTATTGAGAATATATTATAGATATTTTATAATTTGAAATGAGTTTTCTATTAGAACTAATTAAAAAGATCTACAGAAGGTATATAATTATTACAAAAATACTGCTATACGGACTTCTCTTTTGTAGGAGGTTGCCAGCCTGTATCGGTTCTATGTAGTATTTATGGTCCGGACGGTGGATCAAAGCATTTCTCAATGATACCCATTCCATCCGATTTCTAAGACGAGTAAAATTTTAATATAGTTTCCTGTTTTTTAAAGGAAAAACTAATATGCTAATCACTATAATGTTGTCACATTTTGAAACAGGTCCTTCTAATTTTTTTCTTTTTATACTCCTTTTATTTTAAATTATAAGATATTTTTAAATAAAATCTTACATACCAATGATCTTTATTATAATACACTTGACAACTTTATTTTTTTAAAATAAAAATATAAATTTTTAAAAATATTTTTTATTTAATAATTTTAAATCCACACATAATTAGTATTAAATAGATAGAAAAAAGAATGATATTAGAATAATTTTATTTAATAAAAATTTAATTTTTTTTAAAATATTTTATATTTTAAAATGATAAATCTCTCTCAAAGGTAATTTATAATTTAAAATGAAGGTAGTAATATTTTTGTAATTTACTCCGTTGAACTTCCGTTAATGAGATTGCATATGATGTTACCAGTCTGCCCCAACGCTTTTTGGAATGTTCTTTGCGGGTGTTTCAAGAAGGTTTGGGTTCGACACATGGTACGTACTACGTACTCCCTCCGTTCCAAATATATTTATCCAGAGATTGCGCATGATGTTTGAGACGATAGGGTGAGCTCATCCTTCTCTCGCTCCATTGAAGGAGAAGAAAGCTCCTCCTTCAACTGGTTCCGCTTCTCTGCAAACATTGGCGCTCTCAATGCTGCTGCTGTGCTCACGCAGATTCATGACAACATAGGTGGGGATTAGGGTTCGGCGGCCATGGCATTGGCCATTACGATGGTTTTCTCCATTTAAATCCAGTGTTTCTCTCTATCTTTGACGCTCTTAAATAAAGGTGGAGAGGGGAGGGATCAGTAGGGACTATAGCTCCCCTAACTTTTAAATTTTTTTATAGTAAAATATCATTGATTATATATTTTTGACTTCTTTAAGTTGGCATATTATACAAGTTTTGAAACATTAGATAAAATTCTCATTTCAATTTTATATGTATCTTTTATAGAATTTATTTATTTTCAACAAGATAATGCTATACATGCTGTTAAAGTATTGATATCATTTTATTTTGCTTTCATTTTAAATTTAATGAAAGAAATTGTGAAAATTATCATTAACAAACTTTGTTAAGCATTGCAACAAAAATTTCAAGATATATTAATATCTATCACAAATTCACTTATCCAAAAGTTATATTTTTTGGTGAAAATGTTCTTCTAAAAAATTACTTTTTTTAAAATAATCATGCTGTTGAAATTTATAATATGAATGATTTTTACTCTGATATAATTCGAATTCATTGGCATAAAGATTTTATAACAATTGAGCATTATTAATTCATTGATATATTTGTTTACCATAATTATCAATTAAAAAAATTAAATAGTAAATTTAATGAGCAAGTAATATAACTTATTACATTGAATAGAACTTTAAATTTCAATAATGTATTTAAATCATTTAATGTTTATAGGTATAAAAAAAATTTCACCAATTTAATAATAATTTATATGAGAAGAAAATTACTAAAATATTTATTGTAGACATAATAACTAATGATTTTTATGTTATAAAAAATCGATGAGCAAAACTTATTATATATATATATATATATATTGTTATACATGTGTAAAATTGAGTATAAATATATCTGTTAAAATATTTATATTATGTCGGTGATATATGTATAACTTTTTTTTAATTATCATATATATTTTGTCATCTTGGCCTCTTTAATAAAAATTCATGACTCCACCCCTGTTCTTAAGTGTCTTTCCATTATCACCTTGGCTTCCAAACTCACTAATAACATAATAGGATTATTATGAAATAAAAAGAAAGTTAATTATTGAACTCTATAGCTATGTTTGGTTCAGAGGAAGGGGAGAGAAGGGGTTTTTAATGATCATCTATATGGTTTAGAAAGGAAGAAGAGGTAATAACTAATTTACTATCATACATCTTATATGTTAGCTTTTATTTGTTAGTTTTTTCTTGTTTAAATAATATAATAATAACAAAATTTTTAACTCCTTTAAAAATATAATAAAATAATATTAGGAGATTTGTTTTCATAGTAAATAATTCACACACCATGGTTCTTTCAATTGTCATCAAACTTATTGTTTTTTTTATTTATAAGTAAAATCATAAATCTCAATAATCATTTATTACAATTTTCATAAGTTACCTGTCATAAATTCATAATTTGTATTAATGAGGAATAATTAATGCAACCTTATTTTAAGTAAACACAAAGTATTTTAGTATTTTTTTTATTTTGAACCACAATTATTATCATTGACCAACTTTTTAAAATTATTTGATATAATTATTTTCTCTTATATATGAAAATGAAGGGAGTATTAAATTAGGGAAAGATGAAGGATTTTAATGACAAAATATTTTAATTCAAAATTTTCAATTTAAAGCATGGTTATTAGAATTAATCATTTTTTAAGCTATGCTGGGTGGTTAAAATTTGTTCATATTTAAAAAAGTTAAAATACTTTTGGTTATATAACTTTATAAAAGGCTTTAATTTGATCCATTAATTTTATAAAATATCCCTTCAATCTTTTAATCTTAACACCATTAATTTTAAATAATTATTTTTTATATTAATCATTATTATTTTAAAAAATTAAAGTTAATATGTCAATATTTAAAAATATTTTGTTAATATTTAAAAGTTTAATATATAATTTTTTTTGTAATGTAACTAATGATATTAGGATTGAAAGACCAGAAAAACATTTTATAAAATTAAAAAATTAAAATTAAAACTTGTGTAAAATTTAAAAAACTAAATATATACTTTATCCTATTTAAAAATGGATATAAATATATAAAGTGGATATTTCATCTTACATGCAATTGTTTCCTATTTTATGCAAAGCAGTGCTCATTTTAAATGCAAATAGTTGGCATTAAATTTTTATAATTGTGATTTGTTTCCTGCCTTTTCTAGCTTTATTTTTTGGCTAGGATATATATTTAGTCTTTTAATTTTATACAATACTTATTTTAATTTTTTAATTTTATAATGTATCTTTTTAATCTTTTTACCCTAACATTATTAGTTTTATTTAAAAATTTTTATATTAAATTTTCCAATATTAACAAAATATTATCAAATATTGACATATTAAGTTTAATTTTTTTAAGAAAATAATTATTAACACAAAAGATAATTATTTCAAACTAATAATAATAGAGTTAAAAGACTAAAAAGATGCTTTATGAAATTAAGAAATTAAATTAAAATTTACATAAAATTAAATAATTAAAATATACTTTATCTTTCCCTTTTTTTGTAGTTCCCAAACCACAAGCTTTTTTACTGTTTATATCCGTTATTATAATTTTTTAAAATTATCTCTCATAAATTTGTAATTTTCAGAGAGTTCAATTCTTAAAGGTATCTATGAAAAATATTTTTAAAAGAGGATACCTTTTAAATAGTGCTAAAAATTTTTAAAAGATATGATTATGAGAATATTTGGGAAACAAAAAAGAAATATTCTCATTGGCACATTTTGAAATCTTGACCAGTGAATTTGAATATCCAATAATGATTCCCATTAATCAGTCACAAGTCAAAGAAAAACTTATTTGCATTAGTATGAGGAATTAAATTAAATTTCCATATTTGAGAATATTACGAGATAGACTTGAGGTACTTCTTTGTTTTTTTTTTAATGCATTTATTGGAAAGGATTTTTCAGCCCCAGCATGCATCTTGATCCTTCTTTTATTATTCTTCAGTATTAAGGGCACTGGAGTCATTTTATCTATTTTCCCTATCATATCACTATCTTCGTCCTACAAAACACAAATTTACCCATTAAACTATTTTCGGCTCGCTCCATTGTGTACCAAACATGCTCACGGTGGAACTTCTCCTTTCTCCTCCTCCTTTCCTTTTTTTTTTTTCCCATTCCTTTCTATCAATAAATACATTCTTTCTACAAAATGGACCCTTATGATGGTTTAGTCCACTGTACTACTATCCTGCATGGCTCTACGACATGATATTCTCACTTGCTTCCAAACTCTCCGCCAGGCTTGTTTATTTGACAAACTAAACCCAATTCCAACCTCTTCCAGTGCCACGGACATTCACGAGTTCGGTGCACGAGTCGATCCCCACTATTCCTTTTGAGAGATGTCTCTTCTGCATGCGATCAAAGCGCCACGCGGACACCTCCTTTTGCCACCCATCACCACGTGGCATTTTCAAAGCCCTTTTATAAGCGGTTCGAGGGCTAGCAGTGGCAGCATATTTCACCTACATGCATGTGTTTGCTCGCACATTTTCTTCTTCAAGATTCTCTAACAGTCAGAGTTCTTTTCCCTCCTCTTCCCAAAACCCACTTGAAAAGTCGCTTTCCTGCCACATCTTCATCAACCCAGGAGATCCTCCCCTCTGTTCCCAAAAGCTTGCGAGTAAGGATGGCTTCCGGTGAACAGAAATTCCCCCGACAAAAGCAAGAAACTCAGCCTGGAAAAGAACATGCCATGGACCCTGTGCCTCAATTCACAAGCCCCAATTACAAGCCATCAAACAAGCTTCAAGTAAATATATATGCAATAATTCCGCATAAGTTGGCCGGCAAGAATAATTTCCCCCTCGGGTGATACTGGTTTAATTTGTTGTGTGGTTTTTCAGGGGAAGATAGCACTAATTACGGGAGGTGACTCCGGGATAGGAAGAGCCGTGTGCAACTTGTTTGCCTTGGAAGGAGCCACCGTGGCCTTCACGTACGTGAAGGGACAGGAGGACAAAGACGCAGAGGACACGCTTGAAATGATCAACAGGGCTAAGGCTTCGGATGCGAGGGAGCCAATGGCCATACCGGCCGACGTGGGTTACGATGAGAACTGCAAGAAAGTTGTGGACGAGGTGGTGAATAGGTACGGCAGGATCGACATCTTGATCAACAACGCCGCCGAGCAGTACGAGGCTGGATCAGTGGAGGAGATCGATGAGAAGAGGCTGGACAGGGTGTTTAGAACCAATATATTCGCTTATTTCTTCATGGCCAGGTGGAATATATTCGCTTATTATCTGATTTATTGGGTATTGGGTATAGCTGATAAACAACATGATGGGTGTTTGGATATAGGCATGCGTTGAAGCACATGAAGGAGGGAAGCAGCATCATTAACACGACATCAGTGACAGCGTACAAAGGGAGTGCGAAGCTACTGGATTACACGGCCACGAAGGGGGCGATAGTGGCGTTTACGAGGGGACTGTCGCTGCAACTGGCGAGCAGGAAGATAAGAGTGAATGGGGTGGCACCTGGACCCGTATGGACTCCATTGATTCCTGCGTCCTTCAAGGAGGATGAAACCTGTCAGTTTGGTGAGGAGGTGCCCATGAAGAGAGCTGGCCAGCCCATTGAGGTCGCTCCATCTTATGTGTTCCTCGCTTGCAACCACTGTTCTTCTTACATCACTGGCCAAGTCCTCCACCCCAATGGTATTACTCTGCTTCTAATTAATTAGCCATCGCCGTCCTTTGGTTCCTTTTTCTAACCTAACATGTTTTCTTGTTTATGCTTCGCAGGTGGGACCATTGTTAATGCTTGAAGCATGGGTGATTTCTGCGATCTCAAATAATCATGTAACTGAGGGTTTTCCTTTATCATTATTAGCTATACACCACTGTAGTTGAGACGAATTTCCTTTTGAACTTGTACACGTGTAGAAAGTGAGTCACATGTAAAGTTCAGTATGTAATGTAACGTCGTGGAAGTGCGTGTGTGTGGGGGGAAACGTATGGAACTTTAACTCAATAAAAAATGTGGAATGTGAAGTCTAGTTTGTTACATTGTTTTGATCGAGCTTTGGCATGATAAGCGCGGTCCTGGAATTTTTTTTTTTTGAAAAAAACCTACTGCTATGAAGATGGTTTCTATTCATGGATCATTGACATTCAAAACCGTGATGATGGATCAGAAAGCGCAATGTAAATGATAAGCGGATTTAAATTCCAATTTTGAAGTTTTTTCTTAAGAAAGAAAGAAAAGATTTTATATTTTATAAAAAATAATAAAATAATTGAAAATACTAAAAAAAAGAAGCAAATTTCACAAAAATTCACTAGTTCCAAAAAATTACAGATTCCATTTTCAGAGAATTTAAAAAAACTTCACAGAAATTCCCAAATTCCAATTTCAGGCCACGGAAGAAAGGGATGACGAGAACTGAGATTTTTCTGTTTTGGCAATTAACTACTGAGAAGGTTTAGAAGCCTAAATAATCCAGGAAACTGTGGACAGTGGTAGTACTACAAACTTCAAAGATGCCAACGCTCAGAAATCTCTAGAAAGTGGACGTGTAGAAATTGGGAAACATCGACTATCGACTAACTGCTTGTAAGATTGTAACAAAAGCACTAGGAAGGATACAAGTCGTCGCAAGGAGAACCTGTAGTCTGTAGCGAACGAAAACAGGAAAAAAAATAATGAGGTACAAGTTGAGGCACATGATGGCAAAAAGAAGCATATATTTTCATGCTATTTATTTGAAAGGTCCATCGGTAATTGATGTCAAATCGCTCCCCGGAAATGAAAAAAGAATCAGGATGGAACCCCAAAGGAAATCTCAACACCCTTCCCGCCTATTCCGGCAGTGAAACATTGGAACCCGCAAGACTCCAGTTCAGATATTACTTTCTCAACAACAGTTCCTGAAAGCACTATTGAGGACTTGTCAAGGAAGAAGAACCGCAAGAAGCACATATTTCTGAATAGAATCCATATCAAGACACTGAAACGTAATTAACTTACTCCGCAAGAAGAAATTAACAACAGATGGAGAAAGATAAAAATAACAAAGGCTCCACTTGCTCGCTTATGCACATTAATACATCTGCCAGCGACAAAAACCTGGCTAAGAGTTTCTCTTAGATAATTCTCTCCTCTTTTTCAGTGCGCTAATTATCCAAGACTTTTCTCAGACCTATAAAATTTTATGCAAGTGCAGAAAAGAAGTAAAAGACTAAAAGGCAAGACGGATTGTAAAATTTAGAAGTGTAACGTAGTTTTGACCAAAGTGCTGAAGGAATGTTTAAAAAAAAAAAAAACAAGAAGATAAAATGAAGTTTCAAATGAACTTTGAAATTGGATCTTAGCAGCGAGAGGCGAGGGTGTGTAAGGCTCATTTAATAGGTCAAAACCACACTCTTCTCTCTCTCTCTCTCTCTCTCTTTTTTTTTTTAAATAACAAATCCCACACTCTCCTCAAATTGATAGGAAATTGATGGAGAGAAAATTGAGAGGAAACTGATGGTTCATGGCCCAAAAGTTCTTGAGATCATCAGTCTTCACTGTTTCCAGTAGGTGATCTTGTTAGTATAGTGTACCTATATGCTGTGCGTGCAATACTTGTATCTATGCACTAAGATATGACTATGCACATACACGCCATAACATGCTGATGTTCACTAATGAAGATCCACATTCCAGGTAGAGGAAAGTTGCCACGTATATGAGATCGTTTAAGCATAAGCAAAATAATGAGAAATCATCAATCAAGTATAAAGGAAAAGTTAGAAAACAGAGAAACCGAAATAGAGCAGAGAACCTCAGAAGTACTAGACACTAGACAGACAAGATAAAAAATGAGAAGGATACAGGTAGGCAGCAGTGTCAGAACGCAGCCTCCACCACCAGCTCCTGTTAATTTGGAGGCCAGCTTGTACTTCAGGGTTGTCCGAAGAACAGTCTCTATTGCAGCGTGACTAACCCCCATACTTTGGAGCAAACCTTCATTCATTTCCATAAGCTCTTCTATCTTCCCTTCTTTCTCCGTGACAGAGAGGTCATCTGGTGTGGGTGACTGAAAATCTGAGCCAATTCTTTGCTGATAGCATCAACAGCACTGAACACAAAAGACATTGCATCCGGGTGCCTTAGTGTCCGCTCTGCAACACCAGCCACCAATGCCTTTGTGTTTCTCCCTACTTTAGTGTTAGTTATGAGCATTTTAACCGGCATATTTGACTTCATATGCGTCAAGTTGCCAGATCTGAAGCTGATCATGTTGCCTGATAAGAGAATTTTTGAGTCATTTGCAAACATCAACAGCAACAACTCGTCTTAAACATGAGACAAATCCGAGACATCTAAAAGAAATGTTGACAACAACGTAGACGCACGCGGTATATCTGAACTCAATAAAAATAAATTGGGGTCCCCACTAAACACTGTTTCGATTCTTATATGGGTTAGGCTAGTAGAAATCTCCCTCACCAAATACAACAATGCAATTTTCAATTGCAAAAGCCAATATCTATTGTGGCTGTCTGACCTTCAAATCTCATTCTAATCTTGATGATCTATGACAACACCAGCACAGACTGTTGGGTCACCTACTAAAGCCCACAAATTGTGTACCAATTCATTCTATGCAAGTAAGTTTTTCATCAACGACATAAAAAGGTTCAAATAGTGGTCATTTTATGACCCCAAAAAATGCAGAAAGACAAGTTCCAACGATGAAATGTCAGAATTAAAATTTTCTCAAATGCTACGCCTTACCATATGTGCTTACTGTGTTGTCAATCCCAGACGGCTTCCCATGAATAATCTTCTCGCCCTCAAAAGCCCATTTATTTACCAATTCAAGCTCCTTCTCTCCAAATGATAACCATCCTTGGTTATTCACATCCAAACTCACAGAATCAGTGCAAGCAAGCAGGGCTGCTGCCAGGGCCACACAGAAAGACGCTGATGAACCCAAGCCTGAACCCAGAGGAAGTTCAGAAGTGACCACCACTGTGGCAGGCTTAAATCTACATTTTGGGACGACACAATCAGAACAGCAAAGGAAAAAAGAGAGGAATTTAACAGTTAAAATTGGGCTCACACCGTTGAATAGATGAATACAGCCAGAGAAAGGCAGAAATTCCGGAAGCAAGTCCAATTTTCGCCTCTGGAATATTTTGTTCTTCGACTAGAGCTGCAATTGATTTGGAAGACTCCACAGAGCATGAAACAGGCACTGAAGACGGTTGACTGCGTGGTTCCGGTAGTACTTCTGCAATTCTACTAATTGGCCAGAAAAATTCTAATCCCATGTCCTTGAGCTGAAGTTTCAACATATCGTCGTTGTCTAAGATGATATAAACAAAGTGAATGAGAATCCGTATTTATTCAGGGAATCAGTTAGCCAAAAATTAGTATAGTTGTTTTCATTTCTAAAGAAATAATGGTAGCAGTTTAGTACTGGATAAAAAGATTCATTCCGAGAGGAATATCATATTGAATGCTCGAGCTGTTATCATCCACCAAAATTCATTTTGCTAAGACATTCTGCTTTCAATCATCTTATATCAACAATGTTCTTGGAAAATTAAACAGAAGTACATCCCACCCACCCAAATAGCAAAAAGATATTTGAACTCCAATGAACAGCAGCATTAAAGTGCAGATGATGTTTTGCCAAAGAAAATTTCGATCAGGTTGAATTAAATTCAAAAGGTTCAAGGAAAAAGATAAACACCGAGCAACTCTAACGCCAAACGGGATCGCGCTCCAAAATTTCAAACACACTCGCACGCCAACGGAAGGGGGGAAAGAGAGGGTACCGGAAGGAGTGGGGAAACGGATAGATACATAGGTGTACAAGTCAATGGAAGCGGCAACAGCAGTGGATCCATGCACCACAGCGTGCTCGCCGGAGAGTATAATCTTCCCTGGAGCTCTGGCCTTAGCCTCCATGTTCTTTTTTCCTCTCCGATCTGCTCACACTCACTATTTCACTGAATCCTTCTTCGTCACATTAAGAAGGACGTCCGAGAGAACAAACAAGATGTCCATTTTTGAAAAGCAAATGGTAAAAGAAAAAGAAATTTCTGATTTTGTCGTGGTTGAAAGAATGAGTAATGCCACGCGAATTTGAGGGCGTGGGGTAACTAATTGGGCAATGAACATGAGATGCGAGGAAGGTGTGTGGTGTAAGGCGGTGGTTGGTGGATGGGGCTTGAGATTCAGAATTTGAGAGTTGATTCTGAAGTTGTAGTGGGCCAGCCTCTGTGTTTTTTTGGAGTTGGACGGGTCATAGCCCACGCACCCCTCTGCTATTCCTGCTTAAGACCGCACGCACGCGCACCGCGTGTCCTTTTTTAAAAAAAAAATTCTCACATTCCTTTGCGTTCCTTCATACGCGCCGGCCATATTATTTTGAATGAATAACGTGGAGGTTTCGAAAATATTAATTAATTTAAATTAAGTTTAAAATTTTATAAATTTATAATTTAATTTTTTAATTTTATAAATTTGGTCTATATTAAAATTTAAAAAATAAGTTAAAAATTAATTATAATGTAATTATAAAATTGAGTAATTGAGTTGTAAATTTTTAGAATTTAACCTTTAAAACATAATATAAATTACTTGATTTTTTTAAAATCTCTTTATTATTCTCCTTTTTTTTTTTGGCCAGAAATACCAGCCATATCTTTGGACTTTGATTATACCTCGGGGAAATTAAAATCGATCGCCTTATTTTTATTAAATTAAAATAACAATGAATGATTTTTAAAAATTTATATCCGCACGTTTATAAAAACATATGACAACAATATGACTTATTTCTTAATGTTCACAAAAAAAAATGTATGAGAACTCACTTAATTAGATTTATATGATAAGTAAATACATTTTGAATTATGTTTATATGATGATAAGTAAAATACAT